TTTGGTGTTAAGTTTGAAGGAGCCTTAATGTGGCGGTGCATATGTGCTAGCTCTGTCCTCCATACAATCAGGATGCACAATCAGGGTATTTGAACCATGGACTGTACTTATCCTCTTACAACCCTCACCAAAAGATGAAATATTGTTTTATATTGCTGAGAATAAATAATCTTGTAATTAAACCAACCCCCCCCCCTTAATAATTGCTAGCAAGCAATCACCATTCAATTAAAGAGTAATTACATGGTTATTTGTGCCCTGCAAAATAAGGCATTACCGAAATCAGTAACACAATCAATATTTTCACTGCAACAGGATGCGGTAGTGATGGACCTTTCAACCTGTGCTGATTAAATTGTCATCAGACTGTTTCCTAGTTAAATCACCACATGTTTATTTGTCTTGATTAATATGTAAATTTACATCTGATTCTAGTAAATTTGAAAATACAGCCAACGGCATCCATCAGCAGGTCTACTCTGTTCCGCGTTCTGCAGACAAACAGCTTCTAAAAGTTTATTCAGAAGTTTGCAGAAATACTGAGAGTTAGCCATGATAGACTATCAGATGCCGTTTTTTCCTTCAGCTCTTGAGTCTTAGAAGAAGAAGAAGAAGAAGAAGAAGAGGAGGAGGAGGAGGAGGAGGAGATTGGATTTATACCCCGCCCTTCACTTGGAGTCTCAGAGCGGCTTACAAACTCCTTTCCCTTCCCCTCCCCACAACAGACACCCTGTGAGGTCAGTGGGGCTGAGAGAGCTCTGACAGAAACTGCTCTTTTTCAAGGACACCTCTTATCAGAACTATGGCTTGCCCAAGGTCATCCAGCCAGGAGCAAGTGGAGGAGTAGGGAATCAAACCCGGTTCTCCCAGATTAGAGGCCGCGCACTTAACCACTACACCAAACTGGCTCTATCCAGGTCCATTGGGCTGTGCTCAGGCTTTAATACCTGCAAGCAGGACTTCATTTTTTCTTTTGGAAAAAGAGGTGCCGGAACTCTCAAGAGGGAAATTAAGTTTTCAATCTGTATACTGAAAACTCATTAACTTTTAAACATTTTAAAAAGAATTATGTCAAAGAAGTTCTGGAACTCTGTTCCGGTGCGTTCCCCCCAGAAAAAAAAAGCCTTGCTTGCAAGTAGAGGAGAAACGCACTCAGAGAGCCAGTTTGGTGTAGTGGTTAGGTGCGCGGACTCTAATTTGGGAGAACCGGGTTTGATTCCCCACTTCTCCACATGCAGCTGCTGGTGTAACCTTGGGTCAGTCACAAGTTATCTCAGAGCAGTTCTTTCAAGGGCAGTTCTTGAAAGAGCTCTCTCCGCCCCACCTACCTCACAGGGTGTCTGCTGAGGGGAGGGGAAGAGAAAGGAGTCTGTAAGCCGCTCT